AAAAAAAAAAAAACTGCTGACCAGAAGACCAAAGACTACAATGTTGTCAGCAAAAAACCAAAAATAGGGCAGGCACCACATGGAAATGGAATGATGCAGGTTCACCTATTCTAGAAACAGATTTTGCCTTTATGATCTCAAAACTATGCCCTGCAGGTAAACATCAGCCAATTTCTCCTCAAATACTTCAGTGAAATTTTGAAGTTTATTACAGCTCTTTTAAAACACAATGTTATGCACTAAGGTCTAAATTGAACGATTTAGAAAGTATTATTCTTATCATTCATGTTATGATTTGCCAATCTTGAAGTTAATTTTTAAAATCCTATTATTTTCTTCTTTAAATGAGTGCTTAAATATTTATTAGAAGATGATTATTAATTTTAGTGAAGCTTTAATTAGTTTAGTGAAGCATTTTTCATAGGGAATAATCAAGTTAGGGTCTCCAAAACTGCCTACAAGAACCTAAACAAATAGGGAATGAACTAGCTTAGCAGAACCAGAGATTTCATAATCCACCTGAGACATTAAAAAATTAACTAGAAACCAAAAACATGATGTGGGCTACCCAACACTTCTGTGTGGGCTGGATAATGGGTCACAATTTTGAAACTCCTAAACGAAAGCCTGGAACTATAATCTGAAGTTTTTTTCCAAATACAGTTGATTCCTGTTACAAAGAGTCTACATAATAGATTGTTTATAGATTTAAATTAGTACAAATTTGCTCACATATTGGCAATACCACTTACCTGGAGATTTGTCACATATCAAAATGTCCTGGGTAGAAGTTAATTATAACATATAAGTATGGCTTGTTTTACTTATAAATGACTTGTTTTACTTATAAAACGATACATAAGTGTTTTAACTACATAAAAATGAAATACTACTACTGAACTGGCATTTTACCTGCTTAAGAAATCGGTTAGATGCGTTGCTGTGTTTGGCTAACACACTTGGCAGAGCAGGATTAGCATACTCAAACTGTGGATTGTAGGTATAGTCAGACTTGAAGAATCTCAGTTTCTCTTTCTCTAAGTTGGTAGGCTTTATAGCAGTCAATATGCAAAATTTTTTTCCAGAAAACTCATCTGCTTTTTCAAAGCTTCTACAGAACTGAGGCTGCTGCTTTGGCTTTGGAAGAGCGGAGAAATGGCGTCGCTTGACCTTGCTTTTTGGTTTAGGTGGCAGTATTAGGCTGTTCCCTGTAACAGAGATATCATGTGTAAACTTTACAGGACTTGACACTGACTTAGTGACAAAAATAGTAGGCTGCCTCTCCAGGCAGTACCAAGTACCAGTGCTTGCCACAGGCACTGGGGTTTTCGTCCTGCAAGGATCTTTACTATGAGGGGAGCTAGGAGATTTGCTGGGTTTTCTACATCTTTTGGAGTAGGTGGACGAAGACTGTTTTTGTAAATGATGCTTTCTCTCCTCCTTGCTTTGTAGTAGGACATTGTAACTACTGGTTCCAGTTGTGAAAATGTCCTTTAGTATTCCAGCAGGTAAATGTGAAAGGCTTCTTTTGCTGTCAATGATCAATGAATCTTCTGCATTTAGAATAGACTTCTTAGCGAGTTCTTGCTCAGGCCAGTGAAGCTTTTCTGTGTTAATAAACAAAACCAAAAAAGAAATAACAAAGATGCTAGATGAAGCAAATTGCTTATTATACAAAAAGTCTTCTGAAAGTTCTGTAAACCTTATGTTTTACAACAATCTTTAGAAAAGATATTTTAAATAATAAGAATATATATTATAAACACTGTCTCTTCTCTTCCCTTAGTGTATATATGTTAAATTATCTATAAAAATCCTCAGTTTCAAACCATTGAGATGACCAAGGTCAAATATAGCTGTGAGATAACACACATAAATCTGCATTCTCTACCAAAGAATGTAAATTTTTTGAAAGGATGTAGTATTATTAATATCAAAGTAGACTCCAAGGTGCTTTCAAAGTTAATTTAGTCTTGAAATTTGGAACTATATATAAAAGTAGCCATCTACAGATGGACAACATGCCTTATTTACCTTGAAAAAAATAAGATTAAAGGGATGATACGTCTATGTTCAAGCATGTTTTAATAATGTTCAACATTAATAATTGGTTAATTTTCTTAATAATTCTAAACTGTAGCTTAAGGTTTTTTAGCAAATTTAAAAAACAATTACTATTCAAAGGGTTTCAGTGTATTCAGTTGCAAATTAACTTAAAGGGGGCAGCTTTGTCTTTAAATCTCACAAGCACTTTAAATAGATAAGGATTATTTATATACACTGATGCTCATGCACTGATTTAAAACTGTGTTTATGTGTATTCTTTCATTCAACAAATTTATAAAACTCTACTAACTGGCACATGGTGTAGGGCACCCCCTATCTCCATAGAAAAGTCTTAACTGGGCTTCTCCAGAAATCTTCACCATGGCTGATTTTAGGACGGTCAGCAAAAGAGTCTCTACAAAAGAGTTCAATGTAGATAAACTTCCAATTTTCGTGTTGCAGTGTTTTACTTGGCCACTGGCCGGGAAGAAATCCGCACTCCAGGTGCTGGACACCCCCTTACTAGTTTTTCACAAACATGTGTCCATTATAGTAGTTTGTAGAAATATGTAACCAAGTCCTCAGGCCCTGATTTGGGGCTTCACAGAGATGTCTACATTTCTAACATAAGAAAAGTTACCAATTGGGCTTCATGGTAACAGCTGGCAGGGGGAGGAAAGAAAGGGGAGAAGGTGGTCTTCCCTTCTCAGGTGCTGTCCTTGAAGGGTTAACTTGCCCAGAACACTGAAAGAAAAAAACTGCTTTTAAGTTAACTTCTGCAGACTGTGAATTTCTCAGCCCCTCCCCTTACATGCTGGGTATAAAATCTGAAACTACCTGAACTTGGAGTTCAGGGGATTGATTAATTACAGCAAAAGCTGTGCCCTCTGAACCTGGCTGCAGCCAAATAAAACTGTTTCCTGCTGTCCTCGGTGCCTTGCTTTGTCTGTCTCTACAATAATGGTTCTGGATAACTGGCATGTCCATATAAATACATTGTTCCTGCCTACATGTGAGGCAAGCTGCCTACATGTGAGGCAAGTTCTCTAATACTGAAATATATCCTCAGTCCTTCCAGTCATCTTCTAATCTCTGAACACAAAGCACTCCTATAAAGTTTTGATTAATAATACAATGTAGTACATGATTAAAGGTGGGAAACAAGAGATAGCAACAATAATCCAGAATTCAAGAAGTGAAGAGAGCAATGTGAAAATAACCAGATTACATTCATGTAGGAACCACGTAGGAACCTAATCTGATTCTTTTAGTCAGCTTTTTCACTGCTGTGACTAAAAGACCCGAAAAGAGCAATTTTTTAAAAAATATTTATTTTTTAGTTGTAGTTGCACACAATACCTTTATTTATATGTGGTGCTGAGGATAAACCCAGAGCCTCGAACATGCTAGGCAAGCGTTTTACCACTGTGCCACAACCCCAGCCCACTGACAAGAGCAATTTTAAGGGGAGAAAGTGTATTTGGAGGCTCATGGTTTCAGAGGTCTCAGTCCATAGACAACCAGCTCCATTCCTCTGGGCTCAAAGGAAGGCTGAACATCATGGTGGAAGAGTATGGTAGATGGAAGCGGCTTACATGATGATCAGAATTCCACTTGCCAGATACAAAATATATATCCCAAAGGCAAAGGCAAAGGCAAAAGCATGCCCCAATGCCCACCTCCTTCAGCCATACTCTACCCACCTTCAGTTACCACTCATTCAGTTAATCCCTATCGGGGGATCAATTCACTAACTGGGTTAAGACTCTCATAACCCAATCATTTCACCTCTGAACATTCCTACATTGTCTCACTCATGAGCTTTTTGGGCACACCTCACTCCAAACCATAACAGATTTGAAGGACTTTCAGACTCACTCTTAAACCCAGCTCATCTGAAGAAGACTCCTTTGTTCAAGTCCTGTTAATAAGTTAAGTCCTGTTTATAAATACCCTTATAAATATAAATGATTATATGACCCTAAGCATGCCATTCTCCAACATTCTGGATATAGAGGCAGATATTTATTGTTCTGGAACTATTCTATTTCTATGAGAAGAGCATTGCAAAAGTAGAAAGGTAGCAAGAAAGATCCTAATCCACTGGTTCTCAACTCAGGGTTACTCTCTATTAGGGAACATGTGGCAATGCCTAGAGACATTCTGGTTGTCATCCTGGGGAGGGGCTACTGGCATCTTATGGATAGGGTCATATTAAAGGTGGATTGTGCAACAAGGTCAATCAAAAAATGTTAAAAGATTATATCTGCCAAACAAAACCAAAAACAGGACAAATAAAAATTTCACCACAAGACGGGAGATCCCAGTTTACTAGCAATTTCAGACTTAAGTATTGCTAACTGATAGTCAAAACTGGCAAGGCAAATAAGCTAAGGAACATCAGGACACAGGCTGTAGCCCAAATGCCCCAGAACAATGTCAGTTTCCCTAAAAGGGCACCACAAGTTTAGGAAACAAGAGATGATAATGAAAGGAATGGATACTGAAATGGACACCAAAAGAGAATGATGAGAACTCAGATAAGAATAAAGGTTATCAGAAGTCTAGAGAGGTAGGGTAAGAATGTGGAGCAGCCAAAAAAATGAAAGGGAGGTAGTCAGGTTCTTTTCTTATCATCTCCATAATGAAATTAAAACCAATAAATAAAATTACTCTGAGGAAATTCTATTCTGATGGTTCATTATTGATGTTGTGCTGATTTTTAAAAATAATTCACTATTAAAATTGTTTGGGGCTAGGGTTGTGGCTCAGTAGTAGAGCACTTGCCTCGCACGTGCAAGGCCCTAGGTTTGATCCTCAGTACCACATAAAAATAAATAAAATAAAAAGGTATTTTAAAAAAAAGAAAATTGTTTATTTGGTTCTGAAGACTTGGAAGCTTTATGACCAAAGACCTGATCTCATTGCGTACTTCTGTTTTGTCTTAAAGTATCAGTAACCTCCAAATTCATAATTTTGTTCCACTTCAAGTAACCTTCATGTTTAAAATTTAAAAAAAAAATAAATAAGTACTAAACTACCTGCCAAAACCCTGGAGGAAGGATGAGAGGGTGGTAGAGGGGTGCCTGACAGAACCACTCTCCCTAGGAATTGTGGCATTTCAGTTCACTTGCTAATGATCTACTGAGAGGCTTAGCATCCATTCTTTGGAAGCCCCATCTGCTCCTGAGTAGTTTGAGCGCCAGCATGAATTTATTTAACAAATGCCAATCCTGCCAAATGTTGGATATTCCATGAAGTTCATAAAAGTGGGACACATGGTCCTTCATGTAACTCATACAAGACAGATATAATTTCTCAAAGGCACACTAATTGTTTTTCATTTGTATTATTATCTAAAATACTGTTTTTATAATTTTAAATAGTACTTTTTATTTTGTGAAAAAAGACTTCTGAACATGCATAAAAAGATAATAAAAAGGCTTATTAAAATTTCTGGTTGTATACAAATTTATTAAGGAACTCCTTTTTCCTGAGAAAACTTTTTAAAGCATTAAGCAGAATTCTTTGGAGGAAGTACAACTCATTTTCCCCCCAAAAGTAATAAGAATAATTAAAAATCATAATATCTCATAATAAAGGTTGACATTATATACTTTAACACAGAGAGCCATCAGCAATCTGTTTCATTAAAATCTTGGAGTGAATTATTTCTGATCAAAGAAAATCATTTATCCCAACTTGGTTTCCCACACTAAAAAAAAAAAGGGTAAATAATATTACTTTAAATTAATACTCAGTATTTTATATCCAGAAGTAAGTGGATCCTGAAATTACCAACACAACAAAAGCTTAATATGTATCTAGAACAGGAGAAAAGGATACCAGAATTCCTGGCTTCCATTCCCAGCTATTTCAATGACCTATTTGTAATATTAGCCTATTCATTAAGCCCATCAGTGCCTCCTGTTCCTCATTTAGAAGAATAAGGGAGAAGGGGAACACTGCTCACTAAACTTTGTGTTTTACAACTCCAAATAGCTGAGGTTTCACAGTGATTATGAACTCCCTGTCTAAAAAGGTAGACCCAAAGCCCTCTGGAAAAACACTAGTAAACAAATTCTGGCCTGTAAAAACAATTTCTTTCAACCATGGCCTTGCACATGCTAAGCAGGCACTTCACCACTGAGCTACACACTCAACCTTAAAAGGCAATTTCATATGGTTCACTAATACTTAATGAAACCTGAGAACCTGGAATAAATTTTACACCATAAAACAATAGTTAATTTGATCACAAACAGAAGGGCTAAACAAAACTAAATAATCCCTGAATAAGATAAAACCCTAATTATATCAAGTATTTCTTCCTTTCTTTTTTTTAGTTGTAGATGGACACAATACTTTTATTTATTTTCATGTGCTGCTAAGGATCGAACCCAGTGCCCCACACTTTCGAGGCCAGCGCTCCACCACTGAGCCACATTCCCAGCCCCTAATTTTATCAAGTATTTCATCACTTAAATTCAAATAATCTATTAACTATTAAAGTAGATGCTAAGGATGGAGGTGCATGCCTATAATCCCAGCAAGTCTGGAG